ATTATTTGAACGGCTGAGATTGATTTGGGTTTTAATCTGGTGTGGTAAAGCCTATTGTATCCTAAGAAATCAAAGGCTCAGATCTAAACACTATTAGATCTAACGGTTGGGATATTTTTGGTATTTTTTAATTTATTAAAAAAAATTTAATATCTTACTAGGGTGCAGAAAAAGTATGAGAAAAATGAATAGTACCCAAACAGTAACTCAAATAATAATACGTGAATTTGAGAATTGAGAATCAGAATGAATTTTTTAATCTTTTTTTCCTTTCTTTTTTTTTTATTATATTTTTTTGTCATGAATAATACGATAAAATAACATTCCAAAAAATTTTAGTGAATCCAAAATTGGGTTACAACAGTTGCCCCCTCTTTACAATGCTTACGGTGCAAAGACATTGAAAAAATCATTTTCTTTTGACTTTGCATAGGAAGTATTGTAAAGAAAAATGCTGGAGATGTTGAAAAACACATATATTTTTAGTTGGTCTAATTCTTATGGGCGACCTGCCCAAGTGAAAAACATGAAAATGTTTTCAATCTTGATTTTGTGAAATACTTGAAAGTGATTTCAACAATGGTTTGGTGAAATACATGAAAGTGATTTCATTGATGGTTTCCTAAAATACATGAAAGTGATTTCAGATTGTTTTACATGAAAATAATTTCATCCTTGATTTTGTGAAATACATGGAAGTGATTTCAACAATGGTTTTCTGAAACACATGAAAGTGATTTCATATTGATTTTGTGAAATACATGAAAGTGATTTCATCATTGATTTCCTGAAATACATGAAAGTGATTTCAGCTTGATGTTGTGAAATACATGGAAGTGATTTCAACAATGGTTTTCTGAAATACATGAAAGTGATTTCAGATTGATTTTGTGAAATACATGGAAGTGATTTCATCAATGGTTTTGTGAAATACATGAAAGTGATTTCAACAATAGTTTTCTGAAATACATGAAAGTGATTTCAGATTGATTTTATGAAATACATTGAAGTGATTTCATCAATGATTTTCAAGGTTAATGAAAACTTATAAAGGAAGTCATATTTGTATGACTCAGATCTGATTTGTAAAAATCGATCTCAAAGATGATGAAAGCTTCTCACGAAAGTCTTATATCTACAGCTGAGATCTAATTTGCAAATCGATCTTAGAGATGATGAAAGCTTCTCATGAAAGTCTTATATCTACGGCTGAGATTTGATCATCTGTTCAGAGTAATAGTAAGAGTAGAATCCTTATAAATTACATAGTTTTTGGTGACAAACATCATCAACTTCTTGTATTTCAAGCCTTTCAAAGTTCCTAACTCTTGAAGCTTTAATCATGTCTTCCTCTTCTTCCAATGTTAACCCAAATCTTGTTCCTGCAGTAGAGCCTATAGTTTGGCGTACTACTTTTGAAGTGAATGGTCGTCCAGTTACAATAGAAGATACTGTAATGGACAATGAAGATACTGCTGTAGCCGTGGCTAGAGACATGGTCCTTCCCCGTGATGAAACCATGCTGGCAGCTAGGAGCGATATTGAAGCAGTGAATCAGTCACTTGCTCTCAGTATCAGAGCTACTTCATCTCTGGTGAACGTTGCAGAGCGTCTTCATGCTAGAAGACTTGAGCTGAATACTCAGGTTCTTGATCTCCATCATCTGATTGAGAATTTAAGGAATAGACTCCGTGATGAAAGACGTCAGAGAAACGACTTGGAGAGCAGGAACCAAGAGCTGAATACACGTGTTGACTTTTGGAAGGACTATGTTAACACACGACACCTCGAGTTTGAGGAAGAGATGGAGAATATGCGTAAACAATTCGAAGAACTTCGAGGCCTGATTAATGATCAAGATGACAATATCCCTGATCGTCCTCGCACTGTTTAATATTTGTACTTTTAAACCTTTTGTCATGAATAAAAAATCCATCTTTCTTGTCTTCATTTATGAATTTTGCTTTCATGAAATTGTCATATTGGATGTGATTAAAATGACTTCATTTCATCTGAATCTCGTTGGATCACGTTGGGAATTTCGTTTCAAGAAATATCTACAAGACAAATATGCAATGTTTGTGAAATTAGATGATATGTGATGCATCTTACCTTTTTGAAATATAGATCCCCCATTCATCTTGTCTGGCGATCTTGAATGTTAGCAAGCTCTTTTGATTCACGCGTCTTTCAAGTCTACTCAAGCTGACCTATGCTGTTGAGTTCTCCAAGATAAACTTTGTTTGAGTTTCTCAATAGTCACTACCTCTTTCTCCATTGGATACTTTATTGAGAGCATTAGCTTCTCCCTGGCCTGACATCGTGTTGTTGAGGATTCTTTAACCAATTCACATGGTCAATATATGAGGATTATCCCACTTCACCTGGGATTTCCATATCCGAAGATGTATCAGTTATCATATTGTCTAACTGATCATCTTACGAGAAGCAAAAATCTCATTTCATAGAAACTGCATAATCATGCTATTTCAATCCCACTCTGGAAGAAATCTACAGTTTTATCATGTGTATCTCTCACTAGGGAAGCAAATTTCTTCGTGCCATTAGGAATCTGGTGACTGCTTCTCTGCCTCTAGAAGATTTCTTGTGATTGCTTCTCTACCCTTGAAAGAAGTAACTGTCTCTTTTCATTTCCTCATTTGCTCTTGTTGTCGTTAGAATCTCTGATTTTCTAACACTGACTCTTGGTGTGTCATATATCTTTCTTCTTCATATAGAAAACCATTTTTTCAAAAATGATTTTTCAAAAGATCTCTTTTGTTTTTGAAAACTGAAACTCTCAATGTCTGTTTATAACAATGTTCAAGCAACTCTGAGGATTTGTATTAAATCTCTTAGTAAAAGTAATCTCAGATAAAGGTAAGTGATGAGATGACCTTCTGCTTTGGTTTTCAAAGTGTTCAAGCGATTGCTTGAATGTATTTTGAGGGAAAAGGAACAATTGCCTTTTATTTTTAGAAACACTCCTTTTATCAGCATGAATAATAATGAGTAATTATTTGCTACATCATGACTCTTTATGAAAAAGTCTCTTATATTTTGGGAACGCTGTTTATTAATTCAGGTTGCTTCCTTGATTAGAAAGGACTTTAAAGGCATGTAATGTATTTATGGCTCAAGGTTGTAAAAGAAAGAGGATTTCATAAGCTCAAAGAAAGTGTTTAAGGGTTTGAAAACTATAGATCACTGTTATCTTATCTTCATCTTTTCTTTTGCTATCTTGACAACAAAATGATACTAAATATTCCAAATTAGGAATTTTTTCTATTTGTTGGGAATTCTCTCAATTATTTGGAATTTTTTTATTTGAATTCCTTGTTGTCAGACTTCATAAGCTCACATGTCTTCAAGATGATTTCCATGATCATTTCTTTCGTTTTGCCCCCTAGTGTAGGGTGTGATCTTAGTTAAGGTTCTTATGAAAAAAAACTTTAAATAGACTTGGCTCAAATTGGGACTGCAAAGGATAATTTTAAAAGAAAGTGAAAGGAATATCAAAGATGGCCTTTCCTCATTTCAAGTAGGATCGGTTAAAACCAATAAACTTTGTCCACATCCAGCGTAATGTTTTGGATTTATAAGATACCATGTTTTGCGAGTCCATGTCAAGCTAATGTACTACCAACCATTATTCATGCTGATAAAATGTAAGTCGAAGACAGAATTTAAGTGATAGTTGTTCCAATTACGTGTTTTTGACTTGTATGGTCATCTCTTTCAAGAGAATTGCTTTGAACATTATCCTAAACAAATCATTGATTTATTTCATTGAAATCATAAACAAAATCAATTCTTTTAAAACCTCATTTAAGAAGAATGGGTTCTCTTGTAAAAAAAAACATTTGAAAGATCAGATTGTTGAGCCATTGAGATCATGCATGGGCTTTTTGGTGAGGTATATGCAAAGAGAATTTCCTGGCCAAAACTTCATTTCATTTGATTTTGATTGGATGAAATACATCATACATAATACTTTTTCATAGAATCAGAGTTCACGGGCCTTGGTAAATCATCTCCATCCATCCTAGTTAACAACATAGCCCCTCCGGAGAAAGCTTTCTTCACTACATATGGGCCTTCATAGTTTGGTGCCCACTTGCTTCGGTCTTCACTTGGTAGTGGTAAGATTTTTTTGAGTACAAGATCCCCCTCTTTGAATTCTCTTGGTCGGACTTTCCGGTCATATGCTTTGGCCATCCTTCTTTGGTATAGCTGGTGGTGACAAATTGCAGCCAACCTCTTCTCACTTATCATGTTTAGCTGCTCATATCTCACTTTACCCATTCAGCTTCTTCTAGTTCAGATTCTATTAGTACTCTCAAAGATGGAATTTCTACTTCCAAAGGCATCACCACCTCCATCCCAAATACTAGTGAATAAGGTGTAGCTCCAGTAGATGTTCTTACTGCTGTGCGATATGCATGTAGAGCAAAAGGAAGCATCTCATGCCAATCCTTGTAAGTGACTACCATCTTCTGGATAATCTTCTTGATATTCTTGTTTGCAGCTTCGACAGCACCATTCATCTTTGGTCTGTAGGGAGATGAGTTTGAATGTTTAATCTTCCACTTCACGCACAATTCTGTGATCATTTTTCCATTAAAATTCTGGGCATTGTCGGTCACTATCTTCTCAGGTGAACCCTACCGACATATCAAATCTTTCTCAATAAAACTCTTTACCACCTTTTGAGTTACATGGGCATAAGAGCTGGCCTCCACCCACTTTGTGAAGTAATCAATGGCTACTAAGATAAATTGATGCTTATTGCTGGCTTTTGGGTTGATTGGCCCAATCACATCTATTCCCCACATTGCAAATGGCCATGGTGATGTCATATTAAATAGAGGAGCTGGAGGTGCATTTATCTTATCACTATACACTTGACATTTATGACATTTCCTGACATAATCGATGCAATCTCTCTCCATGGTCATCCAGAAATACCCAGATCGTTGTAATTGTCTAGCCATCATATGCCCACTTGCATGAGTTGCACAAATTCCTTCATGAATTTCTTGCAATGCTACCTTAGCTTCGATTTCATCTAAACATCTTAGTAAAGTCCCATTGAAATTGAATGACCTTTTGTATAGAATTTCTCCATCCAGGTAAAATTCTAGAGCTAACCTTCTCAAGGTCTTCATATCTGCTTTGGATGCCCCCAAGGGATACTCTTGATATTGGATAAACTGCTTGATGTCATAAAACCATGGGTTCCCATCTATTTCTCCTTCAACTGAACAACAATGAGCTGGAAAATTTCTAATCTCAATGCAGATTGGTTGTACTCTTACTCCGTAATCAGTTTTGGCCATAGAAGCTAAGGTTGCCAAAGCATCAGCAAACTGGTTTTTGTCTCTTCCCATGTGGGTAAAATCTATCTCATCAAAGCCCTCAGTCAGTTTCGAGAGATATTGTTGATATGGTATCAATTTTTCCTCCTTGGTCTGCCATTCACCTTTCACTTGACAGATTATTAACATTGAATCCCCATAGACATCAAGCTTCTTTATTTTCATCTCCAAAGCAGCTTCTAATCCAAGGATACAAGCCTCATATTCAGCAGTATTGTTAGTGCATTCAAATTGTAGTTTGACTGAGACGGGATATTGCTTCTTGTCAGGTGAGATTATCACAGCGCCTGCTCCATTACCAGAAACATTCACTGCCCCATCAAAATACATGATCCACCAATCATTCTTTTCCTTGTCCTCTTCTACTATCAACACATCCTCATCCGGGAAGTCAAATTTCAAAGGCTCATAGTCATTGATAGCATTATCTGCTAGATGATCAACAATTACACTTCCTTTTACAGATTTTCTTGTCTTGTATACAATGTCATACTCAGCCAACATCACTTGCCATCTTGCTATTCGACTTGACAAGTAGGGTTTCTCAAAGATGTATTTAAGAGGATCCATTTTTGAGATCAACCAGGTGGTATAATACAACATATATTGTCGAAGACGCTTCGTACTCCATACAAGAGCACAACATAGCTTCTCAGTCACAGTATATCTGGATTCACAATCTGTAAACTTCTTACTCAGATAATAGATAGCTTGCTCCTTTCTTCCAGACTCATCATGTTGTCCCAACACACAGCCCATTGCTACCTCAGTTACTGTCAAATACAAGATCAAAGGTCTTCCAGGCACAGGGGGCACGAGTAAAGGTGGATTCTGTAAGTATTGCTTTATTTTATCAAAAGCCTCTTGACAATCTTTGTCCCATATACCAGGGTTCTTTTTCCGAAGTAATCGAAAAATTGGCTCACATGTTGTTGTTAACTGAGATATGAATCGAGCAATGTAATTCAAACGTCCTAAGAAACCTCTTACTTCTTTCTCGGTCTTAGGAACCGTCATAGCCTGAATTGCTTTCACTTTATCAGGATCGACCTCTATTCCTTTATTGCTTATCACAAATCCTAGCAACTTTCCAGACTTTACCCCAAACGAGCATTTTGAAGGATTCAGCTTCAACTGATACTTTCTTAGTCTTTCAAATAATTTTCTTAGAACCTGAACATGATCTTCTTCATTCTTAGACTTGGCAATCATATCATCCACATACACTTCAATCTCTTTATGCATCATATCATGGAAAAGTGTCACTATTGCCCTTTGATACGTGGCTCCAGCATTCTTCAACCCAAATGGCATCACTTTGTAGCAGAATGTTCCCCATGGTGTGACAAAAGTGGTCTTCTCTTTATCCTCTTCAGCCATTTTAATCTGGTTATAACCAGAAAATCCATCCATAAAGGAGTAAGTTGAACTCCTAGCAGCATTGTCTACCAAGACATCTATGTGAGGCAAAGGAAAATCATCCTTCGGACTGGCTTTGTTTAGATCCCTGAAATCTACACATACTCTGATTTTGTTATCTTTTTTTGGTACCATCACTATATTAGATACCCATTGAGGGTATTTAATAACTTCTAGAAAACCGGCATCCCACTGCTTCTCTATCTCTGCCTTGACTTTGAGCACAATATCTGGGCGAGTTCTTCTTAATTTCTGCTTAACAGGTTTACATCCTTCTATCAAAGGTAATCTGTGTACTACAATATCAATGTCTAAACCAGGCATATCTGTATAAGACCAGGCAAACACATCGATATACTCTTGTAGTAATGAGGTTAAACTGCATCTTTCTTCTGTAGTGATCAGAGTTCCAATCTTTAACTCTCTTTTATCTTGCTCGGTGCCTACATTTATCACCTCTAGTTCTTCCTTCGCAGGTTTCCAAGCATGCTCTGACTGTTCTACCCGTCTAGCAAACTCTTCATCCCATTCCTCTTCATCCATTGCAATCTCATCCTTATCAAAGTTTGGCCATTCATTTTCAATGCAATATGTTTGTGGATTTATGGAGGATTCACTTTCAGAATTCCTGAAAGTGGAAGGTGTTTTTTAGTGTGAATGCATATCTTGTAGCCAAACAAAATAAAAGGAATTCAACAAATACTGATGAAAATGCTTGATCTCAATATTATTTTAAAGGTTGACTCAACAATTATGAAAAGACCTTATGTTGTCATCTTGAACCAAGATTTCCAACTAGGTATAAAATCACAAAGCAAAGTACAATGCAAAGCACATAAAAGCAAATATAAGTAGACACTTAATCATTACTTCTTAAAAACAATTGGGGCTTCTTCAATCTCCCAATTCTGGAATACTTCTTCAACTGAAAGCTTTCGCACAAAAGCGTTGGTTGGAGCTTCTTCTAGAGCATGGACAGTTAACTGTGGTAACAATTCATCTTCTTTTATTATTATTGGCTCATCATCACAGTTCCAGCCTTTCTCTTTACCTTCTTCTACATTGTTGATATCCATGACAGCAAGTTTCTGTCCCAAGACTTCCATCATGTTTTCAGGTTTCATCACATATGCTGACTTTGGAAAAGAAACATGGATAGGTGGGATTGCAATGTCTTCTTCCTCTGGCTTTCTTCCTTCTATTCTGGCCAACCTTCTCTCTCGCTTTATCCTAGCAGCTCTCTTATGATCATCTTTCTTAGGCTTGAAGCCAAGCCCAAACCTCTGATCAACGGTCTTAATTTTCATCATGTTAACTCTTTTACTATTTCCAGCAATTAGATCATTCTGGAATGGCAGCCCATGTTTTAAAAAGCATTTAGCTATCATTCTAGCAGTACTAGAAATAGCTGGTCTTCTTAACACAGTATTCTCCGGTACCCATTCGGTGTTCACAATCTCGAAGGCATGGAGATCTCCATCTTTGCAATCTTCTGCTTCAATATAAGGGACCGCCACATATACCTTGGTAGCACATTCAAAGCTGAACCATTATCCACAAGCACTTTGCCGATCAGACAGTCCTTATATTTCACAGTGATATACAAGGGCTTGTTATGCCCAGTCCCTTCCGGGTCTAGCTCATCTTCAGTAAAATATAAGTAATTAGAGGCTTGAATTCTTCCCACCAAATGCTCCATTGTATCCTGAGTAATATCCTGTGGCACATATGCTTCATTCAACACCTTTTGCAACGCTTTACGGTGTAACTCAGAACTCAAGATAAGTGACATTAAAGAGATTCTAGCAGGAGTTTTCTTCAACTGATCTACTATACTATACTCACTATGCTTTATCAACTTCAGAAATTCATTAGACTCCTCTTCACTTATGGGTTTGTTCACTTCCATATCTTTAAAAGCCTCAACTGTTTCTTTTCCTTTAGCTTTCCTCTGCCTCTCTAATTCTTCTGGTGTAAAACATCGACCACTTCGAGTTAAACCACCGATTTCTGTATGGAAGACAGGAGTAGGATTTTTAACATTGAAAGCATACCCATAATTGTAAGGCATTGTGCCATAACTTCCATTATTGGTACATACAGGCTTGATTAGGATTAGTTTTGGCGGACCACCCAAAGTTGGTTGGAGTCTACAAACCTCTCTTTTTTTCTCCTGGCCGCCTATCATCCCCACTTCACTGCTTTCTTCTTCACTTTCTATCCGTATCATGCCGAAAATCAACATCCTTTTCACTCTTTGGTGAAATTCTTCGCAATCATCAATGTGATGTCCCACCTTGGCATGAAACTTACAGTAATTATTTCCATTCATTACTGGTTCAAACTCGGATAAATATCCAGACTGTACCATCATACCGTACAGTTTTTCCATGGAAACCTTCAAAGTTCTTTCCTTCTTACCTTCTACTCCGATAGCATTCACCCCTCCACTACTTGTAGCATGATTGGGTAAAGGGTTGGAATTCATATTCGGTGCATCATCAAAAGTTATCCATCCAGCTTTTATCAATTGAAGGAGCTTGTTTTTGAATGCATTGCAGCTTTCAATGTTATGCCCAGCAATGCCAGCATGATATTCACATGTCATATCAGGCTTATACCAATTTGGGTATGGAGGTTGTAGTGGGGTTAAAGGAACAGGGGCCACTTGCCCAATACTCAACAACTTCGAATACATTTCTCCCAAGGGAAGTGGTAATGGTGGCAATCGTTCTTGGGTTCTTTGAAAATTCCTTCTTGTAGGATTAACAATCTGGTTACTTTGTTGGTCATTTGGTTGGTTTTGCTGGTTGGTAGGGAAAGGTTTAGTGAAGTTTACATTTGCAACTTGTTGGGTAGGTATTTGGAAGTTATAGTGATGGTAATTTTTCTTCTTACCCTTGTACCCTCCTTCCATATTGTTCACCTCAGGCTCCTTCTTTTTCCCGATAAAGCCTTTCTTCTCAGTAGGCTCTAACATTCTCCCCATTCTTATTGCTTGTTCTATCCTCTCAGCAATAGTTACAGCATCATAAAAGTGCTAAGCTGAACTACCCACTAAGTGTTCAAAGTAGGGAGATTTAAAAGTGTTGGTAAACAGAGTGACCATTTCTTTTTCTAACAAAGAGGGTTGCACATGGGATGCTTTTTCACGCCATCTCAAAGCATATTCTCTTACAGTCTCTTTGTTGCCCTTCTCCATGACTAACAAGCTTGACCTGTCCGGGGCTACCTCCATGTTGAATTTGTATTGCTCCACAAAAGCTTTGACCAAATCTTTCCACTTTCTGATCTTAGTATTATCTAGTCTTGTATACCAACTTAATGCTGATCAAGAAAGACTGTCTTGAAAGAAATGGATGAGAAGTTTCTCATCATTCACCACTTCTGCCATCTTATTGCAATAAGATTTAAGATGAGTGAGTGGGCATTCAGTTCCCATATACTTGATAAATTCTGGTACCCTAAATTCTTTGGGTATAGCTACATTTGGGACTAAACACATCTCTGCAGCATGAACAGGATCATATAAGTCTGCCCCTTCGACTGCTCTCAATCTTTCTTCTAGAGCGGTCAGTTTGTCATAATCAACAGGTTTAGAGTATCTCATCTTATGTGAGTCATCAGCTGTCAAGTTTATGATCGGCACTTGTGCTGGTGGAACATTGGCAGTGAACTGCTGTTCAGATGAAGAAGGATTTGCTCCTAGATTTTGGGAAGTGAACACGAAAGGAGCTACTGGAGTAGATATAGCTGGAGTTGCAACCGTTGGCTGAGTAGAGGTATCTTCTCCAGACTTGGATACTAGGGCCTGCTCGAGTAGACTTGTAAGTCTTGCGATATCATTTTTCATGCTCTCCAACTCCCTTTGATAATGAGCCTCTAGATGTGCTCTTTCTTCGTTCTCCATTATCTTTCTTCGAAGTCGAGTGTAATGAATTTTATGGTCTTTTGGGGGACCTATATTTCAACCTGGATGAATGCCATAAAAATGAATGAAATGCACAAATGGATGCAAAATGCTATATGGATGATGTATGCCTGTTATTTGTTTTAGGTTTTCCTTTAACTTATGATGAGGAATAGACCAGATCAGATTCTCTTAAAAAGTTCTCACTGAGGACTCCAAACCTACAGGAACTTGAACCGATTTAGGGAAGAAATTTGATGGCATAAATCCATATCAAAATAAACATTTTTCATAATAAAAAAGATGATGAAATTGTCTTTTATTGGTTTACAATATCAGAATTACAACAAGTCAATCTTTCCAAAGCCTTGGGCCGTCATATGCTGCTATCTCATTAATCCCATCTCTGATTAGCCCAAAAAACTGATGGAATTCATTTCTAGTCATTGGTTCACCATCTGCTATTTGTTGGGCCATGCTTCTTAATCCTGAAGCATAATTCTTGGCATCATCTGCTTGTACATGATAGCGCATAGCTTCAGAAGCCCAACATTCTGCTTCTTTTTCTGCATTTTCTTTTTCTGATGATAAGGTTTGCTTAATGGAAAGCAAATGGTTCACCTGCTCATCTAAATTGGCAATCACTGCATCTTGATTTTGACACTGTTCCTGAAGTGATTTATTTGCCTCTTCCAACTTTAATGCTATTTCCTCAGATTTTGATGCTCTTTTAACGCATCTCTTCACGTTGACATCTTGCTTCCTCTTATCTTCTGACAGAAGTGCATATTTTTCTTGTAGTCGCTGGAACTCAAGTTGTTGATGTTGTAGCTGAGTTGACAAGTCATCCTTTTCCTGTTTCGTGATAGCCAATGCTTTTTCTCGGATGGCTAGATTAGATGCTAACTTTCTTTTTTTAGCCGTTAACTCTTCTACTTCAGAATTCAAATCTAGGTTGTAAGATTCTTGTTGAGCACGAACCTCTTCATGTATGTCTTCAGCAGACTGAATCACAGACCTAGATGGCCCTTCAAATGGAGGAACTTTGTACCCTTTCCCTCTCTTCTTCTGCCATATTGGATATCCTTTAGTTGTTTTTCCTTCTACCCTATTAACAGAAGTAACCCTACCAGGATGCTTCCATGCCTTTTTCACTGACTCTAATAATTTCTTTGAGGTCTTGAAATCTTCATAGAATGTTGCCAGCTCGGTAGTTCTTGGAATAAACTGCTCAAATCCAAACTGTCGTAAAACCATGTTAGGACAATAACTAATACAGCAGCGGGCTCCTATCAACGGGACCCATGGGTACTCACCACAATATGCTAGATAAGATTTGAAGTAAGAATATCGACTCCTCCAATGAAATTGAGATTTACTCAAACTCAGAAACATTGATTCCCATGTAGTTCTTCCTACTTCATGCAAATGTTTTTCAGCAAAATTCTCCAATTTAGAATAAAGATGCCATGGGGTACCAACCAAACCTGAGATCTTCCCCTCAATCATGTGACTCACAGTCCAAACAAACAAAAGCTGCAAGCAACATCTTAAACGACCTTTTCCGGCTTTTCTACAATAATTCAAAGATGAGAGAGTTTCTGCCAATATTGCTGTAGCAGGATTAATTTTGAGGGTCACCACATTTTTAAATACATTAACAGCCTCAAAATCGATCATTCCCTCGGCAGATGGGAAAAGAACCAAACCATATATGCCCAACGCCAAAATTCTCAATCGAATTTCATTGCTTTCATCATGTAGTCTCCTCTTGAATATGGCTTCTAGCTCATTCCAAAACCAACCCTGGTTGTTTCCTCGTTTAGTTGCATGTGATTTTGCTAGTTGACAGTCTATCTGGGTAATCCAAGCAAAGTTAGAAAGTGCATGCTCTATAGGTGTGTAAAAGTACACCTTTTCTGACTTGGGACAATTTAGCAAAGATCCATACTCCTCGATAGTAGGAGTCATATCCACAGTATCAAAAGTGAAACACCGATATTCTGGATCCCAAAAACCTATCATGGCTTGAAAACAGGCATGTTGGACCCTAATTTTCAGTAAATGTGCCAAGTCCCCATATTGTTTCTGAAAATTGACCTGATCATGAATAGATAACATTTCCCAACAGTTCAGTAGTTGTCCTGTACCAAGTGGTCTGTCATCTAATTTAACCTGTGCCGGTAATTGAGGCTCGAATTCTGATGGCAAACAATCCCCTTCATCATGTTGGCTCAATTCTGATCTGGTCAAAAATTCCTCAATAGTATTGGTTTTTTCCATCTCACACTTCCTATAAGGATCGGTGGAGATATAATGAGAATATGGAATGTATATGAAAATGTATGTTAATGCATTGACAATTTATTTGTGTCTTATATCCTACTTGATAGGATTTAACTCATAAGGTTTGGTTTAATTTATTCTATCCTTAAAGAAATTATTTGGTTCTTAGATTGCCCGAATTACTTGTGAAGTAATCGGCCTCTTAACCTTATGCAACATGAGTATGGGATAAAATTCCACAATACTCGTTGCATAGGGTGAGTTACAATCCAAGCGAAAGTCCAGATGAGCATCAGTGGACATAAGTCACACTTACCACTTGAATCTTTCTTTTCTAATCTTAAAAAGGACGAAGCTCGGGTCCAGAGCTTTTATGGGTTCATCGTGAAGTGTGTGAATACACAAATAAATATCATGCATGCATGTGACAATATGAAAAATTGAAAAGAATTACAGTAACAAATAATGTAAATAAAATAAATGCCAAAAATAAATAGCATATAAGAAAAAGTATATGAAAAGCAAACACAAGTAGTAGGTTCAACCCTAAGTCCCCAGCGGAGTCGCCATTCTGTCGCTTCACGACGTCGGGCGACGGCTCCACTCCTCTTTTTTGTTTGTTTTTTTGTTAAAACAAAAGGAATTTAATTTTTTATTTGATTAGGGGGAAATAAAGATTTTATTTGGAGTCGCCATCTAGTAATTTGAGGGAACTAGAAATCCAAAATTAGACACTAGTCCCAGAGATTCGGATACTGGGTTAGTTATGATTAAGGGAAGGTAGACACCACCCTTAAAACATCCTTTCAGAGAAAGGTTTCCTTTACTTGTGTGTTTTTCTTATTTTGATTCAAATGCTATTATATTTTGAGCTTATTTGTAAATTTTTAACATATTTAACGTCGGTCCCTAAAAATAGGAGACGCGTTAAAAATGACATCAGTCCCTAAAATTAGAAGACTTTGTCTAAAATGTCGACGTTTATCCCTAAAAAGGAGAGTTACGTCTGATTTACCAAAATAAATAATAATGGACATAATCCATATTTGGTATTTAAATTTTTGACATCGGTCCTTTTCTGTAAATAAAAGAGACGTGTCGAAAAAATTTATTTTATAAAATAAAAATTATTTTGATATCATTCACAAATAGATATATCAATTCTTGAAAATTGGGTTTTTGACCTATGAACAGTGATATGATAAAATGGGTGTTAAACCCGCGTCGTTATTTATTTTGGTTTTCTTTTGTTTTTTTTTTTTTCATGCAAAAATTTACAAGTATTTATATATAAAAATATCAAAAAATACCATAAAATATCATAAAAAATTACCTGAGCACCCCTATATAGGCAAAAGACTGAAATACCCTCGGATTTATCGAAAATTTACGAAAATGCCATTGGACCCGCGGTTACTGTTCACGGGCGAAATTTTCCGGCGAGTTTCCGGCAAAAGATAGTCGAATCTGGTAGATCTGAGGACAAGGATTCTGATGGTGGTGGTCTCGTTGTCCGTTGATGGCTGAGGAGGGAGAATCGACGACTTGAAGGTCGATTGGTCGATGTCGGTCGCGGCCTTTTTCCGGCCGCATTAGCCGGTAACAACGTGTTCAACGGCCGGGGTTTTGCTCAGGGGGAGGCGATGCACAATTCTGTGGTGGTTTCACGGCTTGAGACGGCCGGAAATGGGAGATCCGTGGAGAGAGAGAGAATCGCCGGCGATAGGAGAGAGAAGCTCTGGGTTTTGATCTGGTGTGGACGAGTGTATGGTGCACTCCTGCGTCTTAAGGCTGTGAACCGCTGGATCTTGGATGAACAGATCGTGCGGCTGTGATTCGTTTGATCTCCAAGTTGATCGGACGGTCAGGATTGAATGGGCTAAGATCTGGTGTGGCGCGGTGTACTGAGTGCTCGGTATACCTGCTGACGTGGCGCAACCAGATCGAAGGGCATATTATTTGAACGGCTGAGATTGATTTGGGTTTTAATCTGGTGTGGTAAAGCCTATTGTATCCTAAGAAATCAAAGGCTCAGATCTAAACACTATTAGATCTAACGGTTGGGATATTTTTGGTATTTTTTAATTTATTAAAAAAAATTTAATATCTTACTAGGGTGCAGAAAAAGTATGAGAAAAATGAATAGTACCCAAACAGTAACTCAAATAATAATACGTGAATTTGAGAATTGAGAATCAGAATGAATTTTTTAATCTTTTTTTCCTTGTTTTTTTTTGTTATATTTTTTTGTCATGAATAATAAGATAAAATAACATTCCAAAAAATTTTAGTGAATCCAAAATTGGGTTACAACATGTATTATCCAATATATCATCCATCCTTCTGTTTGGAAAAAATTCACCAAACAATCTAATTTTTAATCAACTATCATGTCAAACTTAGTGATTCTAAGGCTTGTTCTTATTCATACCGGCATTATTAACAAGTCTGATTCAATGTCTTTTTTCTTCAAAATAGTAAAGGTAACAACTTTTGTCTATTATATTTCAATAATTTCATCAAGACTTCAAACCTACCAACCTGGTTCCTTTAATGGTAGGATTAGTTTGGTTGTATTTACGAAGTAATAAAACCTCATTCTTTAATTGAAAATGACTACATTTATTTCAAATATAATTTTAAAGCTTCAGAAAATAAGAAGAAATTCCCATTAATCCTCATGTTTTGTTCTAAATTCTGTCCTTTAGGTCTATTCTTCATATTTTTACTATAATTACTAGCATTGGTACCTCATCCTCATCAGAAGATATAAAGGACAATGGTGGAATTCCTTTGCAATATAAAGCAAAAGTTCAAAACATGTTGTAATGGCTTCAACAATACCAGAAGGCCTAAATTATTGACCCAGATCCTCAATTCAAATTTCTAGCCTAAAGATCTCATGCTTTTACTCTTCTTGCCTCAGCTAAATCTAAAAAAAAGAATATTTTAAAATCATGACACAGCTCCTATAAAGCATAAAAAATCATGAATCCTTTTCATCTTCATCATTAGGTTCCATTGTTAGCCTAGCTGATGACAATAAAGATGATTGTTATGAAATTCTTCCTCTTATACAAAAATAATATATACTTATTGTAAAAACAAAGAGTATTTTTCTAGGCCTAAAACTATTCTGGCTCATTCACAAATCTTGTTGGCCCAACTCCTCTTCTCGGCACAAATGGTCAAACTAGCCAGATTTCAATTCAACTTTTTACAAAAGCTAACCCCTACTTGCAAAGGATGATAAACAACAGCAGGTAGTTGTTTCAACTTTTAAAAAAGTTGACCTTCACTTGCAAAGGATGGCAAACAATAAGTAAGGAGCTTTTCTAACTTTTCAAAAACCAAATCATCTGCTTTATGAAATTTTGAAAAAGTCAATCTCAAACCCCTTTATATAAAGAGACTCTTCCCAAACATTAGAGGCTACATAGACAAGTTCATCTATAGAAGGCATCAAAATACTCTCATTTTGTAATTCCTAGTTAACTCTATATTGCCATCTAAATATCCTACAAATAGATCTTTATTCTTGAATCCAAAACCAAAGAACTTATATCTCCTATAATAGTTTCAAATTACATTGTTACCTTGTTTGATCCAGGTGCAAATTTGAATTATATTAAATAAGAAATAGTTATTGCATGTAAAACTCAAGCATTAGTTTTTAATAATAGGTTTTATCTCAAAAATTTCTTTGTCATTACTCATGATATTAATCATCAATAGAAAATAAAAACAAGTACATGGCATTGTTACTTATAAGAATGATGTAGACATTTGGTTACAGGTTTGCAACAGATATATTTGATTACAAAACAAAACTATAAAATAAAAATAAAATAAACTTCTAATGTGAATGAAAAGGCAGGTCTAAGAATGATAGGATCCTCTAACAAACATAGAGCATACTTAATTTTGCAAAAATATATATATAGAATAACAAGAAGAATTTATATATATATAGGAGATTTAAAGGAATCTTACTTAAATTTATATAGAAACTAGTATAGGAGATATAAATTCTTTAGTTTTGTATCCAAGAATATGGATCTGTTTATAGGATATTTAGATGGCAATATAATGTGTTACAGGGAATTACAAAATAAAAGTATTTTGATGTCTTTTATAGATGAACTGATCTGTGTAGTTCTGACTCTAAAGTTTGGGAAAGCCTTTTTATAAAGCAAATAATTTGCTTTTTGAAAAGTTGAAAAAGTTGTCTCTTTATTGTTTGTCATCCTTTGCAAGTGAAGGTCAGCTTTTTGAAAACTTGAAAAAAATTTCTATTATTGTTTGTCATCCTTTGCAAATGGGTGAAAAAATTATCTAGTGTTGTTTGTCATCATTTGCAAATGGGGGTTAGCTATTTTAAAAAAGCTAAATTAGAATATGGGTAGTTTTAACCACTTATGTTGATAATAGAAGTTAAACCAGTAAGATTTAAGAATAGGCTAGAATATTTCTAGGCCTAAGAAAATACTCTTCCTTTTTTTTACAATAAGTACACATTATTTTTGTACATGAGGAAGAATTTAATAACAATTATCTTCATTATCATCAACTAGGCCAACAATGGAACTTAAGAATAAAGATGAAGAGGATTCATCATCTTTGATGCTTTGTATAAGTTGTTTCATGATTTTAAAATATTGTTCTTTAGATTTAGTTGAGGCAAGAAGAGCAAAAGCATGAGAAATTCAGGCTAGAAATTTGGATTAAAGATTTGAGTTTACAATTTGGGCCTTCTAGTGTTGTTGGAGTCATTCAGTTACAATAGGTTTTGAACTTTTGCTTTATATTGCAAAGGAGTCCCATCATTTTGCTTTATATCTTCTGATGAGGATGAAATACTCATGCTGGTAATTATAATCAAAATACAAAGAACATAACCAAAGGACAAAGAATTTGGAACAGACATGAGAATTGGTGGGAATTTCTTTTCATTTTCTAAAGGTCTAAAATTCTATTTGAAATAAATGTAGTCATTT